CAAGCCTTCCCTATTGTTCTTGACGATGATGCGGGAACTATTTCTAATTAGTGTTTCTAGCTTAGTAAAAGAACATATTGTGCAAACGATGAAAAAAGCATAAATGGAAGATCTTAAATGCAATTTTCTCTAACAATTAATGGTAAATTCTCTACACATCAAGGAAAAGGTGCAAGCTAACTGATAATTTAAAGTTCTTGGGGCCAGTTGTTTTCTTCTTTTCTTACGTCGCCCCAATGGCCGCGAATACACTTGTGATAACGCCTATCGATACCGATCGTCGGTCGATCGACCATCCGTTCATTGTCGGCCGTCGCCCCGGGTCCGTCGGGCGCGACCGCACAGAGACTGTCATCCCCGCCCCGCCCCGGTCCCGTGGGCAAACACACACGACGCATGCAAATTATCGACGGGACCGGCGCAAGGGGTGTTGGGCCGTCGGGCCGTGTGCACTGTGCAGACGGAGCGTGAGCGATGTGTGCACAAATCGGGCCGCTCGCGCCGCAGCAGCACTCGCTGTTTACTCGGCGGCACGTGCATCTGTTGGTGTGTGTATGTGTGTATGCGGGGCATATGTGTGTCGCAGTACCCACAAAAATAGTGCTGGTAAATGCAGCATAAAGCTTCTGTAGAACTAATTTGAACTGTACGGATGCCGATCGCAATGTAGTAGGCATATGAGAAACCTTTACATTTTACCTTTTTATGAGGGAGGGAGCTGCACAAATGAAGATTTCGATGGCCGATGGGATAAAGCAAAACGTAACTTCCAAGCTGAGCCAATCAAAAATATTATTGATATATTTCGATTTGAGTCGTCTTCGGAATGTACATTTTCGGACTTGTCGGGGAGCAAACTCGAATCCTTTCAAAATAGTGCGCAACATTTTTGTGAGATCTTTGGATAACAAACTTTAACCACAGATCTCACAAAAATGTTGCTTTTTTGAAGAGATGTGAAGTTTCTCGTCGACTATCCCGAAAATGCACATTCCGAAGACGACGCAAGATGAAATTTACCAACAATATTTTGTTATTTCTCTATTAGGTATAGGTTTTCCTGTACATGAGCATAAAATCATTTTCTACATCATATTTTTTTAATAAAGCTCAAGCGACTAGCGAGCCATAGCTCATCTCCAGCGGCTGCGCAGATCAAGTAATCAATTTTCATTCTTTTACCCTCTCTTACTAGGTATTTTACTATATCTTAGGACAACCTTATGCTCAACGATTGCGAAAGGTTCTAAAATTAATTACAATGGGAATATACATACTTTGGACACTGCCCTTCCTCGCAGACATGTGCATGTATTTGAATGATGGATCTATAACCACAGTGGATCTCGAAGCAAGCTGCATGTTAGGATCTATGATCCCACCGGATCCCGCGTGAAAAAAATATGGATCTATGATCTTATAGGATCTGACGACAGATCAAGGACACGGATTTACGCTCCGAGTGACGCCCATCATGCAGAACATTTGAAATGTTCCCAAGCGTTTCTATGTCAATAAGTGTCACGAAACTAACTATGAATTATTACGTGCAATCGCATAAATTACAAAAACAGAACTTTTGTGAGTTGCAGCAAGTGCATCTTTAGGACTGTTGTGCTATCAAAGAACAAGTGAGAACTGTCATCTCAGTGGATCTAAAGTACAAAAAGAAAGAAGAAAAGAAAATAGATGCGTTCGTATGATCCATTGGATCTGTTGATAAGTAAACAACTGGACCATGATCCCGTCGGAGCCGAGATCAGGATCCGTGGGATCAGAATCCAGATCATTTCCTCGGATCCATGCACATGTTTGCTTCCACGGTTCAGAAATGCACTTTAAATCATTACGTCACAACAGCGTCAGAATGCGTCGATTACCGCCAAGTCCAAAAATCACAGCTTGGCAAATTTTTGCGCAAAACAGACAACTATCTTACAGCTTGATTTGTTCACAAGACACTGCTACCTTATTACGGAGCGAGCGAAGCGAGCGTAGTCTTTCCTTAGATTAACGGAAATTTCTGAGTATGAGCGGCCGTGCGGACGCTTTTGCGAGGCTTATATCTCAGCAACCACTTGACCGATTTACATGCGGTATTTTGTGTAGGGTAGCTTCATTCCTTCTACCAAGTATTGGACTATTCCCGATGCATGTAGGTGACCCCTTATACACGTGCCACGTGCAAAACGAAGAGGTGTCAGTTTTGTAATTGTTGCAATATCTCGGTAACTACTTGGCCGATTGCGCTGAAAGTTGGCATGTAGGTAGGCCCCCACTAGGCACTGCATATCCATGTGCCAGAGTTGGGGTGCTGCTGCACGTGCGCACGTGCAGGGGTCGTTTCCAGATCTCGAGAACGGCTGGACCGATGGCGCTCAAATTTGGTACACGGTGGGGGACCAGTTAGTCGGGTGCCGTGCACAAGTCACTTGGGACCCATTTTGCACGTGCGCACGTGCAGGGTGCCGCTTCCAGATCTCGAGAACGGCTGGGCCAATTGTGCTCAAATTTGGCACATCGCTAGAGACCGGTTAGTAGAGTGCCGTGCCCAAGTCAGTTGGAGGTACCCCTTCGAAATTTCGCACGTGCAAGGCTCACCCTCTCGCTCGCTCCGTTAGTCGCCCCAAAAGGCGTTATACTGGTTCATATAAATGTAACTCAACGTCTGCAGTTTACGCTTTAATTCATCCCTACCATTTTTTTTTTTTAAGTTTTGGCAATATCTAACGGCCTCGACATGGCCACCAATGGTCCCAAATAGTGCATGTCTCTATCAATATAACAATGGTCCCGTTTGGCCACCAATGGCGCATCACGCTTATGTCAGCTGCAATGACATCGTTACATGCTATAAATATATAGGCATAAGGAACGATTAGCTGCATTTGCTGAAAAAAAAATCAATAAAACGGCTTAAATATCAATTAGGTAACGGTCCCTTATTATGAAAAAGAGGACAACCAAAACCATAACCTATACTACCAATTGATTTAACTCAGCTTTCATTGAAAGACGGCACTTTGCATAGGCATAGTTATTTTTGATAAACATGCCAGCCGTCGGGCTCCCCTAATACCTACAGTAACGTCCACTTCAGATCATAAATACCTAATTCGCAAATTGCATATCTACATCCCTAGCATCGAATCATGATAACAAACGTTAACAAATGTCACGATGTTAAAAGTAAACGCTTATGGTTTATCCTTTTGGCACAGGCGTTCACACAACCTTGTTGAAATACTTAATATGCCCGTTTCATTATCTATTTACATCGTTCATAACGCATGCTTTAAAAATGTTACGGACACATTTAGGTACTACGTTTTCATGGCACAAGTTAAGCCGACTTTACAAAAAGCTTTTTCTCCATCATGTCATTTAGACATCATTTAAAATTGGAAATATAGGATTAGTTGCTAGCTAAAGCGATATATTCGTTCATTTTTGCATAAGATGAATGGTATCCGAGAAAAAAAGGCGTGAAATTTCTTTAAATCGATTAAGACGTGTCGTAGTGATTTTGTTACCTATTTATCGAAGCCTATAGATGGATATTAAAGACTTATTAGGGTTTAGGATGTCATATGGGGTACAATTTTGGATATATACTAAACAAGTTTATAGCTAATCCTTTCTTTAGAACAAATTAATGCTAGACAACCCAAACTGTTGTTTCATCCGTCAAATAAGTGCTTCGTAAGCATCTTTACATTGTCCAGCAACCAGCTTAGCAGGCTGCTCTGGCTGATCTTTCCACTAATAGTCACATTATCCGTGATTGCCTTGGTGAAAAAAGTTGTGCTCTGGTAAGCTTCAAGTACGGTTGGATTCCAAAGCTAGCGATGATTTTGTCCTTAGGATTGCACAAGGCATAATTTATTCATTTTACGAGGTGACAGATGTTCTTAGGTAGGTAATGAAATAAGAGACAGCGAAGGCTAAGATACCTACTTCCTCTTGATATATATATCGATATCACGATAAAACTAAAGTCACATTGTAAGCAGCAGCGAGCATATTGAAGAATTAGGTAAGACTACCCATCATGAATACCAAAATGGTCTAGAATATTCCTTTTACTTCACAATAATCGATTCAACTAATTACAGACTTGTAATGCATAGAACTTGTACTTCAGACTTGTAATGCATAGAAAGTATTCGCGGCTTCTTGAAGGTAACAATAAATACACATGTAGATGCGCACTTGCAGGTAGGTACCCACCATTTGTAGAAATAAGCAATAACTTTTGCATCTTGTTGAGAAAAGATCATAGTACTTACGTACCCAAAGTCGTCTATGCCTGAAATGTTATGCGGCACAAAATGCAGGCACACCCTAATGCCTGCATGCATGCAGTCGGGAAAAGAACTCCCCTATAAAAGCGGCAATTAGCAGATACATACACATAATGCGTCTTGACTTTGACAACTATTTCCTCCTCAATTTCAGGGTAGTTGGTTTAAAGTAGTGCACTACTAAGCTCCGCAAATGCAGATGAAAGTAATCAACGGAAACTCGATCACCAAATGGGCATGTACTCACATTCAGTGTACCAGGTTCGCTCCATCTTCTCCCGCGCACCAAAACAGACTCACCCTCTCATAACCGCTAGTCGCCACTGCCAGACACAGAACGCTCAGCGTTTTTCGCATTGTAAACGCACCCATGTCGTATAGGTCTCGCGGGTTTTAGCGGTAGGTTTTGCACCTAGAAAATTTAGTGTACTTCAGGCTATATCTTCGTCATCTTAATCTTTAAGTGTTGAAGATGCGGTCGACTTGTTTGGTAACAAGCCGGCCATGATCGTGTAAAATGGCTTCATCGTAGATCGATTAGTTTCTGAGACATAACCGGAAATGCAAAAGTGCAAAACCTACCGCTTAATCTCGAGAGAGCCGTACATGCGCGTGCGGCGAGATTCCAAGCCGGATTCAAGTTTATTCACGTCTCGGTCATCTGTCTGGACCGGAAGGGGGGCGGGGGCGGCTTACCTTTGATCGGGCTGGTGATATGCGGCGCCACGGCCGTGAAGGCGCTGCTCCTCCTTCCGGCCTCGGAGGCCTGCAGCGGGTCGAGAGGTCGCCGACTGGGCGGACTCGCCATGTCCCCTGTCTGGTGCGACCACCGAGCGGGCGCCCTCGGCAGTCGGCTCCCGGAGATACAACAGTCCGCTGTCAGTCCGCTCAATCTGGGCCGGCCCACCTTGCACCTCTAGCCAGCTTTGGCCAAGATTCGACTTTGCCGCCGCTTCAGAATCGACCTACGCCAAATCGCGAGCCGGCCAGGGCTCGAGCGGCAATCAATGATTTCAGCCAATCGGCGGCCGGATTCGCCCGGATTGCCGTGATAGCTCGCGCGCTGATTGGTCGGCGCTCGGCCGAGGCCGTGACCGTCTTGCCCAATCACATTGCGCACGTGCTGCGGCTGGGGAGCGGGCGGGGGCGGGGGAGCGGCCGGCGGCGGCCGGCTGGCACGCTCCGCGCCATGTGGCCAGCGCGGCGGCCGCTGCAGCAGCGGGGCGCGCGCGCCGCGCGCGTGCCGTTTAAATCGCTAATGACTTGGCCGTCCTGGGCCCAGCGTCCGGCCCCGTTTAAATCCTCCCCATGGACAATCTGTTCCCTAGGTTTGAATCGGCGCGCCTGCAATCTGTCACTTCTTTAAAGTCCTCCGGAGAAAGATAAGTTTAAATGTCGGTGCGCTGCGCTGGGCTCGGGCGCTTTGCGTCTGCCTTCTGTGTAGTGGCGCCTCTGGCCGGTGGCAGACGGTCAGTGGGGAGGGGAAATTGACTGCGTTTCGTTGGTCAAGCCAACACGTGGACGCTTTCACAGGGGGAATAATGGCTTAATTGAGATGAGGTTTAATTAGGGGGGGGGGGCACAGACAGAGGGGAACAAAGCTGGAGCTCACCAACAGCGGCCCGGTATTCATTGGGCAACGGACGACAAGCAACGGTGGGCGGGACAGAACAGGCATGATCAGAAGGTATGGCGTCCAACTAAAACACAAATAGGAAGGCACTTACTGACTTCACATATGTGAAGATTATCATAGCTGATGCTGAATGTTTTCTTTCGTGGTAGGAATGTCCTTGTAAGAATTAAGGTTCTCTATGTTTTCCGCCGTGTAGGTAGGTAGGTAGGTACTCGTAGACTGTAGATTATAGGTGTTTCAGGCTTTCAGCAAAGGCAGTAAAGTAAAGTTACACTGCCGAATATTGGCCAAGATCCTGTCGCCGAATCACGCAGTGTAGGAAATCGGCGAACACTTCGCCGACAGAGTCCATATTGCAGAAAACGGGGGGGGGGGGCACCCCTAATCGTGCGCAGGTCGAATTTGGTCCATGATTCGTCGAGCATCGCGAATTAATGGCGAATCGTGGCGAATAGTTGGTGATACTTCGGCAGCAAGTTGACGCACGCAGCGATATGTCAGCGGTGACTCGGCGACTGTTTGGCGATCATATTCGTCAATCATAAGCTCGGCGAGCGGCCACGAAATTTTCATTTTTCATGAAACATTCGTGGCCTTGCATTTGTACACATCTGTCAAATAATCATATAATCCATGAGCTATTCATCTAGGTATATGACCAATGCCAGTTAAAGCTCCAGTTCAATCGCAGTATTCGGCTTTCGACTGATTGTTTGCCCAAATCGCGACACCACATGTTCATTGATTATAAAGAACCCGAAAATCTGTTTTAAGAGGAACCAGTGACCCATCCTCAGGGGTATGAGGGGTCACGGGTGCAATTTTCCGATCCAGTGTGTCATTTTTACCTGTAAAACGATGCTTGAGGATGTTTACTCTAATAATTCACTGAAATTTTTAAATTGATCGTTCAGTCGGTGTAGCTATGACGAGCATTGGAACTATTTCTGAGATAAGGTCACTTGACGTTACCTGGTGACCTGACCTTGAACGGCCCGGGCCTGAGATGTTCACATGTGCAGAAAAGATGTGTAATAAGGTATAGTAAAAACAGTGGCGCTGCACGCCACCGTTTCTTTTTTTTTTTAGATATCCGCGGAAACCTGAGGAGAGCGTAAAAACGCCACTCCAGCACGGAGTGGGCTAACATTCGAAATGGAATCGAGATAGTAGACTTGTTTTTGAATGGTAAAAATATACAAGGAGCAATTTCATTCCATCTGAAAGTGACTATTGCAAACTTCGCATCAAATGTTATTGCAGCAAAAGAATTTCCATAAAAATGTTAGTTTTAAGCACTTTTGCCCCTCTAGAGGCTAAGTTGACCTTAGGCCAAATATAAGAAGATGATTGTTCAAAAGACCTTTAAAAGAGCTATTGAATGAGCATTCTCGCGGTGCTGGACCTCTATTTGTTCCTGAATTATGCGTAGATTTGTCAAAACGTGTTGAAGAAATAGGCCAAATTTGACCTATGAATGAGTGCCGAGTCTTGGTGACTTGAGCTTTGACAATGTCTAAAAATTGATCGAAGCTAAACCTCTTCATGTCTTTTTGCGATCTTTCAAACGACGCTTTATAGTGCATGTCGCTGCACTTTGATCAAAAACCCATGCCCAGCAAACCCATTCCCACCCCAAAAACCGGCGGTGCGGTTGGAGCTGAGCACTGGCTTGGCGTGAGTTACGTAAGCCTTTCTCTACTCTTCATTTAAATGTTACCAGTTACCACCGTCGTAGAAGGACCTTAAAGGCCGCCGTCCACTGCGACGGAATTCCGTCCGGAGTCCGTCCGGAATGTCGCCGCACGCTGGCCGCATCCGGTCCGGATGCGGTCCGGATGCGGTCCGGATGCGGAGAGCTAATAAATGTTTCCTATCACTTATTACCAAATAAAATATTGCAAGTAACCAGCAGCGAATACTCTTGCCATTCTAAGGAAATAATTTTTACTTTCTTCATGATGATCGAGTTCCAATTCTTCGTACAATTCACAATGTTTGCCTCCGATACGGCCCCAAACCACGTCTGTTCCGGACGTTCCGGTTGCGGAAAAGTTCAACGCGTCGAACATCACTCTTCCGTCTCCGTAGCAACCGCATCCGAAACGCATGCGGAGAGCTGACGGAAAATCAACAGCTGATTGCCGTTCGGATGCGGTCCGGACGGAGCGCACACGATTTCCGTACGGACCGGATGCGCCCATAGGGTTCTGTGTTAAATTCCGTACGGACCGCACGCGTTCCGCACAGTGGACGGCGGCCTTTACACAATGCTTTGAAGCAAATGATGGAACCTAACTTGTTGTCTGTGCTATTGATGCAAGCTAACATCGCGATACGCATATTTAACCCTCGCATGTGTGCGGCGTTTGCCAGCTTCTAATGTGTAGGTCGGTTGGACCCCCCCCCCTTGCCGTTTGGCCCCTGATCGAGCTAGAGCTTCGCGGAAAAAAAACGAGTGTGTTGCCCGTGACGAGAGGAAGCCGATAATACCCAATTTTAAGGTCCTAGGTCATTGGTTGACCTTCCAGGTCAGGTCAATGACCCAAAGTCGGGAAAATCGGGACCTGTTAGAAAGTCGTAAAGTGTGGCTGCTAAGGAGTTTTTCGGGGTGCTGATCACGAATATCGTGTTAGTTTTGATCACAGATGATGTCTTAACCCGCGAGTTGCTGGGGGGGGGGCGTTAAACGCCCCCACTTTTTTCGCCGTGCCATAGCATAAAAACGGCGCGCCGCAGGCGCGCCAAATTTTGGGTACCTGTAGGGAATTGATTGAAGTTTATTGGGACAAAGTTTCAAAAAAATCGATCGGAAAATTTTTGAGATATCGAGGTTTTAGTGACGTCATGATTTCTGAGTTTTCGACCAAAAACGGCATATGTTCAAAAAATCATATAAAATCACAGAATAGACATACAGACATGCCATAAACGCCAATAAACTGCCAATACCATGATCAATCAAATGGCTATCTTCGATTATTGATTATCGTTCCGCATTTTCCATAATCTTGAACTGAATCTTGGCAATTTTTCGTGACTACTTCACGCGACCATGATACATGAATTTATTAAATTGAACTTTTTGAGCCAAACACGTACACATATGATAAAATGAATGTCACCATCGTGTTTTGCGCCCCAAATTACCTATAAAACATGTGTCACAGGCTGCGAATATCAGTTTTGATTTTCGGGAATATGTGCCTACCCGGTTGACCTGACCTTGACCCTGACCTATGCTTGACTGACCCCTACATGGAGCTGACACTCTTGTAGGCCTTATAAGATGGATTGTGCACCGTTTTGACAGAGTTTATGGCGAGAGGTGCCCATTGCGAAGTCCTGAAGTCCATGCTACTGAAAGCCCGATTTCAGGTGTTTGACCTGACCTTGACCCGACCTGTGACCTCAAAATTCAACTTTAAAGTACTCATCTGAAGCGTCTCGTCGCGCTCTTTCGTTTGCCGCCTCGTGCGTTTCGCTGCGCCTATTGGTTCTCGAGTCATCGGCTGGGGGCGTTTAACGCCCCCCCCCCCCCCCCAGCAAACGGTGGGTGGCGAAATACCCCAGCAACTGCCGGGTTAAAGCAGTTTGACCAGGTCGGGTCAGGTCAGGTCAGGTCAACCAGTAGGGGTCGTGACAGGTATTCGTAGTACGTGTCAACCGCCTCTGACAGCTTCGTAACATATTACGAAGTCACCAAAACTACTTCGTAAATGTTCAAATGGTTGCTAAATTCGAATTCAGCTCCAAAAACTAGCCTAGACACATGTAAAACTCGAAAAAGTGAACCGAGGTCACCAAAGGTCACTGACCTGACCTGACCTTCAGGTGACCATGACACCCACCCTAATGCATGGGAGCAACATCAAATCATATGTTTGAATGTTTGAAACCACGAAAAGCTTGCAAACGCGCGGCTAATGCAAGCCGACATACGCGGAATCGCGATTCCGGCCAAACATGGTCTCGGAAAAGAGGTCACAGGTCAAAGGTCATTGGGGTCAGGGTCATGAAATTTTCAGGGTAGATGTAAAATTAATCAATGCGAGGGTACTGAAAGTTTCGTCGCGATCGGGCGCTTTTTACGCGATTTATTCGCGAAAAACCATGGGGGGTCCATCCGCCCTCCCCCCTACGCATGCGAGTGTTAACCCGCGCCCCGTTGGGCTATTCAGCCATACGCGCCCTGCTGGGGGGGGGGGGCAAATTCTGCCCCCCCGTCTAACTTCCGAACCGATGGTCGCAGAAAGACGGGGAAAACGGCAATCGAAAGCTCTCAACAAGGCGGATCTTAAGGCCTGATTTTTTTTTTTTGCTTAAGTAGGTCAGAGGTCAGG